TTTTTTTTTATTGCTGTTTTTTTAATTTTGTTACTTTTTTTAACAGTTCAATATTTGAGTGCTAATTTTAGTTTTATTTTTGCTGTAGGTTGGGCACATGTTATTTGTGCTCTTTACATTCCTGAAGTACGTTTTGGTGATGTGCACAGTATGGATCCCGTTATTCTTAACGATGTACCTTTAGAAAGGTTTTTTTTTTGAAGTCTACTGAATTTTTTCGTTTATTTACTTCTTTGTCTCCTACTTGTCTTTTTTTTTGGATATATGAACGGAGTTAAAAAAAAAAACAAAAAGAAGAAATGATTTGTCGTATGGGTTATCTGAAAGTAATCGGGTTTGGATTTGATGATTGAGCAGAGTATTGAATGATTATAGGTTTCAACAACCGTGCTATCTCTGTACGGAACGTGGTGATCGAAAACAGGCACTTCAAGGTGCTTGTATGTCCTGTAACAAATTAGGTTGCAAAAAAGTAAGTTTTAAAGTTATCTTCACTGGTATTCAATCAGTGTTTTTATTGTTTTTAATAGTTGTTCTTTGGCTTTTCCTTTTCTTTTTCTTTTTTTCCTTTGTCGGTTTTGGCAATTTTGGGCATTTATCTCATTGTTGAACTATTTTTTAAAGCCACAGTTTACAGAGGAGCATTTTTTTTCTTGTAGTATAATTGATTTTTTTTTTTTTTTTTGAGATTACTGTTACATTCTTTTCTACCTTTTTTTTATTCTGCTAAACAGAGAGTGAATTAGAGCAAAAGTGATTATGTATTTTATAGTATCGACTGCACACTGCTAACATCTGATGAATACGTTCAGTTTTTTTTTTTTTTTTTTGTTTCTGTTGGTAGTTTGGTGAACAGATGTTGCCAAGTTGTGAATTGATCGTTGATTTGCACAGGTTTTTCATGTTACTTGTGCACAAGCTGAAGGACTTTTATGTGAAGAAGGTGCTGGTTCTAAAAACGTTAAGTATTGTGGATATTGCTCATCACATGCCAAAAAAGCGGTATGTTTTTATTAGTCAGCTATTACTATTGTTGTCATCATTAGATTTTTTTCTTTTTTTTTTTTTTT